TCTCTCTGTAAAAAATCAATAAAATATATTAAAAAAATAAAATAAAAAAATAAATGCCATTTAACAAAGAAAAATCAACCAAAAATATGAGTTCTCGTGTCACCTCTGACACGCGTGTCATAAGTTTGCCATCACTGGCCTATACTAATAATAGGGTAATATGAATTGGTTGGGATGCTGTCACAGTAATGACCGATCAGCAGGCTGCTTGCACAACAGGTGCAGGTGGGCAAGGACTTGCAGTGTTGGGGACGGGGGCGGGGCCGTGGCAGAGAGGCTTCTTCACGTGCTTGCGCCAGGGTTCCGCAGATGTGCGCAGAGGCCCCTCTGCCGCGGGCCTGGCTGGAGGTCTGCAGGCGCACGGAGAGGCCCCTTCCGCCATGGGCCTGGCCCATGGGCCTGGCCCAAGGGTGGGGCCGTGGTGGAGAGACCTCTCCACCACAGGCCTAGCCAGGGGGCCGCAGGCGTGCAGAGAGGCCCCTCTGCCGCAGGCCTGGCCAGGAGTCCTCAGGCATGCTGAGGTCTGAAGGCCTCCGCCGCAGCCTGGCCAGGGGGCAGAGCCACGGTGGGGGCCTCCATATGCCTGCACTGGGGTCTGCAGGCCTCCCCTGGCTCCAGCCTACCTCTTTGGGGCAATCCATTGAGGAGCCCCGGGTGGGTGGGCGCGGCCTACCTCTTTGGGACAATAGATTGCAGGGCTCCTGCACTGTGACAGGGCACAGGCCAGGCTGGGGGACCCCCCACCTGTCCCAAGTGCACGAATTTTGTGCACCGGGCCACTAGTATATTTATATATCTACATATCTATATATCTATCTATATCTATCTATCTATCTATCTATCTATCTATCTATCTATCTATATCAATGAAATAGAATCAATCCAGATTCAACTCATAAATCTATGCTCAGTTGAATGGTGCCAAAACCATTTGAGGAGGAAATAATAATCTTTTCAACAAATGGTGCTGAGACAACAGCATAGCCACATGCAAAAAGTAAGGTTGGACCCTTATTCACACCATATACAAATATTAACTCAAAATAGATCAAAGACCTAAATGTAAGAGTTAAAATTATAAACAGGGGTAAATATTCATGACCTTGGATTTTTCAATGAAGTTTTATATATGACACTGAAAGTACAAGTTCAAAAGAGAAAACAGATAAACTGGGCAAAATGCAAATTAAAAACTTCTGTGCATCAAAGGACACCATTAAGACAGTGGAAAGGCAATCAACAGAATGGAAGAACATATTTGAAAATCATATATCTTATAATGGTCTAGTATCCAGAATAGATTAAGATCACTTGCAACCCAATTCCAAAATGGGCAAAGGGCCAAATAGACATTTCTCCAAAGAAGATACACAAGTGATCAATAAGCACATGAAATGCATTTAATATTATTAGTCATAAGAGAAATGCAAATCAGAACCACAGTGAGATACTACTTGACATACACTGGGATGGCTAAAAAAAAAGTAAAATAAAATAAGTGTTGGCAAGGATGTTGATCAATTGGAACCCTTGTACACTGTTCATGGGAAAGTAAACTGGTACAGTTCTATGAAAAACAGTTTTGTATTTCAAAAGTTAAACATAAAATTACCATATGACCAAGCAATTTCACTCCTAGGTATCTACGCCCCCAAAATTAAAAACAGATATTCAAACAAAAGTTGGTATGAATGTTCATAGCAACATTATTTACAATAACCAATAGGTGGGAACACCTATATGTTCATCAGCTGATGAATGGATAAACAAAATATGATCCTATATAATAAAACCCTAATATGCAAATTGACCAAATGGCAGAACAACCAGTTGCTATGACGCGCACTGACCACCACGGGGTGAGCGGTGAGCTGAGTGGCCCCACCTCCACTGCAGGCGGGCAGTAAGGAGCGAGGGGTCCTGGACTGCGAGAGCCCCGGACTGTAAGAGGGATGTCTGACTGCTGGCTTAGGCCTGATCCCCCGGACTGAGGGACCCTCCCCTCCAGTGCACGAATTTTGTGCACCGGGCCTCTGGTATATTCATAAAAAAGAATGGAGTACTGACACATGTTACAACATAGTTGAACCTTGAAAATACTATGCAAAGTGAAAGGAGTCAGATACAAAAGCTCACATATTGCATGATTCTGTTTCTGTGAAATATCCAGAAGAGGCAAATCCAAAGAGACAGAAAGCTGATTAGAGGTTGCCAATAGCCGAGGAACAGGGAGAATGAGGGTTACTGCTTGATGGGTTGGAGTTTCCTTTGGGGTCATGAATATATTTTGGAACTATATAGAGATGGCTATATAATATTGTGAATGTAATAAAGGCCACTGAATTGTATACTTAAAAATGGTTAAATTAGTAAGTTTTGCATTATATGAATTTTACCTCAATTAAAAATAGTATATAAGATAAAAAATATACTTCCTAGGTTTCACTAGTCACATTTTGGGTACTCAACAGCCACATGTGGCTAGTGCTGCTGATTGGAATTAGCATATTATAGAATATTGCCACCTGCACAAAATTCTTTTGGACAGTGTTGATATAACTGTACACTTACAATGGGTAAGTTTATGGTATGTAAATTATCCTTTGGTAAAAAGACAGGGCAATTTAAAAAGAATTATTTCAAAGGCAAATATAGATCTTTTCAAAGAACCAGCTTTTGGTTTCACTGATTTTTTCCTACTATTTGCCTGTCTTCAATTTCATTGATTTCAGCTCTAATTTATATATTTTTTAACTGCTTGCTTTAGGTTTATATTGCTTTTCTTTCTCAAGTGTTTTAAGATAGAGGATCAACTTTGGTAGATCTCTTTCCTTTTCTAACATTTGAATCCAATGCTGTGAAATTTCTTCTTAGCATTGCTTTCACTGCATCCCACAAATTTTGAGAAGTTGTATTTTCACTTAGTTCAAAATATTTAACACATTTTGAGACATTCTTTGGGCAATGTGTTATTTAGAAATGTATTGTTTAATCTCTAAATATTTTGAGATTTCCATCTATCTTTTGGTTACTGATTTCTAGTTTAATTTCATTGTGATTTGAGGGCCTACGTGTTATGATTTCTGTCCTTTTAGATTTGTTAACATGTTTTATAGCCCAGATTGTGGTATATCTTGGTCAATGTTCCATGTAAGCTTAGAAAGAATGTTTACTTGGCTGTTATTAGGTGAAGTATTACATAAATTTCAATGACATCCCATTGATTGTTGGTGCTATTCAGTTAAACTATATCCTTACTGATTTTCTGCCTATTAAATCTGCAATTACTAATAGAGGGGTTTAAAATTTCCAACTATAATAGTGGATGCATTTATTTCTCCTTGCAATTCTATCAGTTTTTGCCTCACCTATTTTGGCACTCTGTTGTTCAATACATACACATTCAAAATTGTTATGTTTTCTTGGAGAATTGGCTCTTTTATCATTAATAATTTTCCTTGATATTATTGATGTTAATATTACTAATACTATATATATTATTTATATTGCCATGACAATTTTCCTCGTTATGAAGTTGGCTTTGTCTGAAATTAACAGTTTTTTCAGCTTTCTTTTGATTAGTGTTACCATGGTATATCTTTCTCTATATCTTTACTTTTCATCTATATATATCTTTATATTTAAAGTGGGTTTCTTATAGACAATATATAATTTTTATCCACTCTCCATCTCTCTTTTAATTGGTGTGTTTAGACCATTCACATTTAAAATGACTATTGATATAACTGAATTAATATGTCCCATATTTGCAACTGTTTTCTATTCATTGTACTTGATCTTTGTTTCTTGTTTTCCCTTCCTTTTCTGACTTCTCTGTTTTGATTTGCAATTTTATACAAATATGACTCTGTTTTCTCTAAGCACATTAATTATACCTCTTTAAAAATTTTAAATATTTTCTCTAGAGTTTGCAATATGTATTTACAACTAAGCCTATGTTAAAATAACCTTGTTGCCGGAACCGGTTTGGCTCAGTGGATAGAGCGTCGGCCTGCGGACTGAAAGGTCCCGGGTTCGATTCCGGTCAAGGGCATGTACCTGGGTTGCGGGCACATCCCCAGTAGGAGATGTGCAGGAGGCAGCTGATTGATGTTTCTCTCTCATCGATGTTTCTAACTCTCTATCTCTCTCCCTTCCTCTCTGTAAAAAATCAATAAAATATATTTAAAAAAAAATAAAATAAAATAACCTTGTTACTGCTTCATAGGTAGGAGACGACTTATAGCAAAGTATTCCCAATTCCCAAGCCCTCTTGTAGCTTGTAATATTACTGTTATTCAATAGATTATTGCTGTTATTTTTAGCAAGCTATCTATTAGATCAATTAAAAATAACAAAAATATAAGATTTTATTTTACCTACATTTGTTTCTTCTCTAACATTCTTCTTCTTTTTTAAATGTAGATCCAAGTTTCTGATCTATATGATTTTCCTTTTCTCTGAAAAACTTCTTTTAATATTTCTTACAAGGGCTTACTGTGACAGATTCCCTTGCTTTTGTTTTCTGAAAAAGTCTTTATTTCTTCTTCACCTTTGTAGGATAATTTCACTATATAACAAATTCTAGTTTAGTATTTTCTTTCAGTACTTTAAATCTCCTCTTGCTTGCATGGTTTCTAAGAAGTCTGATGTAATTCTTATCTTTGGTGCTCTATAATTAAGGTAGTTTCTCCCCCTCCGGTTTCTGTGAGAATTTTTCTCTTCTAAAAGCAAGTATCAGATAGATCTGTCTAAACAACAACAAAATAATATTTTATATGATTAAGAAAGAAAGCAAAGTGAATGCCACTAACAATGATAAAGACAAAGGACAAAATGGAAAATACTTGCAATAGTAGATAAAATGTTAATAGTCTTAATAGGTAAGGAGCTCTTAATAAATAAGCTAAGCTAAATGTTGTAAAAGAAAAGTGGGCAAAAAACATGAAAAGGAAACTCACAAAAGAAATTAAGATGGTCAATAAACATACATAATAAAAATCTTTGGTAATTCAAAATGAAATTAATTCAAGAAGGAGATAAAATTTTTAACATTTCAGATCAGTAAAGATTAAAAAAATGGTTTGTTGCATATGAGGAAAGGGTCAGAACCAGCTGATGGTATGAATAATGTTACATTTCTGGAGGGTAATTTAGCAAATTTTATTAAATTTCTTCAAAACATCAATTTCTTTTGGTTCAGCAACTTTACTTCTGGAAATTTATCCCTAGAAAATAATTGGACATATATACAAAGATGTGTGTATAAAGATTATTAATATGGTAGTATTTTTGTAATAGTGAAAAATTGACTTAAATGTCCACATTTATTTTTAAGTTGATTTATGAGAGATGAGAAATGAGAGAGAAAAAACTAGTTTGAAATAGGCAAACAAGTTTTTATAATAAATAATTGTCTCCTTAAGTGGCAGTGTCTTTCACAAATAAAGAATGGGAGGAGCAGAATGTAATGTGACATCTTGTAAATATGATACTCTTACCTCTCTGAAGACCCAGAAGTTTGCAGTCCTGACAAGATGGGGCTTAGTTCCTTGGTTCCACAAACACCCATCACCCTTTCTCCTTCTTTAAATTACCCATCATTTCCTTTTATGACTGGAAATATAGCTCCTTCGTTAGAAAACATCCAGTTGGACAATGGGAGAGGGTCTCCATCTTCATCAGTCTGACCTTGAGAAAATTGATTACAGCAGAATTTACTTCTCTGGGCATGGGAGTTGGGAAAGGGAAATCAGATACTCGATAATAATAATAGATACTCGATAAATCCTTGGAGGCAGCCAAGAAATCCAGGATATGACCTCAGCATTCGCACTTCCATCCTGGCCCCCTTAAATGAAACTGACTACCTACAAAAGCAGGGCCTAGGAACTCAGGGCAAAGTCTATATACCTGTAAATCTCCCATTATAACTTCCAATTTTGTTTTGCCTCTATTATTTTTTTTAAAATATATTTTATTGATTTTTTTACAGAGAAGAAGGGAGAGGGATAGAGAGTTAGAAACATCGATGAGAGAGATCAATCAGCTGCCTCCTGCACGCCCCCCAGTGGGGATGTGCCCGCAACCAAGGTACATGCCCTTGACGGGAATCGAACCTGGGACCCCTGAGTCCTCAGGCCGACGCTCTATCCACTGAGCCAAGCCGGTTGGGCGCCTCTATTATTTATTTACTTATTTATTTTAGGTAAGTCTGTGCTTTTTATTAACTACTTGAGGAGGGATGAAGCGGGAGGAGTGGGTGGCTCCCATTCCAGGCCTGCGGCGCTTCACTGGCTTGTACATGATGGAGAACTCACCCAGGTAGTGACCAATCATCTCAAACTTGATTTTCATCTGATTGAAGGTCATGCCATTGTATATGCCCACCCTCTCCGGCAGGATGAGCAAGCCCAGGCGTGTCTTCACCACCTCTGGCTTCTCCATGGGCGGGGCCTCCTTTTTGGCCTTGCGCAGGCGCTTCAGAAGCGAGTGCTTCTTCCTTCAAAGGCCCGGGTTTAGCTGCCGCTGCCGGGCACTGTACAGCTGCACCAGCTGCTCATAAGACGTCAAGAAATTGATCGAGACGCACGCCCGCGGTAGGGGAACTCCTGGAAGGTCTGCTGCTTCTGTGCTCCGTTTCTGCCCTCTTGTCGGTTCTTCGGAAAACCTGTTCTGCCTCTATTGCTCATAGGTGTCATATTCCCAACCCCCTGACTTTCATTTAGCTTCAAACTCTGGCTTGTGTGTCTGACATCAGGTGGCTATGGAGACCCTTTTCAGGCAAGCCACTCCAGCCTGGCTGGACCGCCTGGCCTCCTGGCATTTCTTCCCCAGCATTAACCAGGGAAACTAGAATGTGCCACAGCCATTTTTTTCCCCCAGTCTCGGTAGGCCCGCATTCTTCACTCCATCTTTTCTACCCAGGATGGAGGGGTCAGAAACCAAGAGATACAATTGCTAGACCAAAGAATGTTAGAGTTAGGACGATTTTCATCATTTAGCTAAAGAAACTTCATTTAAGGTGAAATGACTTGTTCCCGGACATACAGCAAATTCTAGGGTAATATGGCACCTAGATACACAGATGAAACTTTTTATTATGGTTGTTATTATTATTACCAATTCTTAAGGTTCCATAGGAAGATAACATTCTATTTGATCTATAAGTACAGTCAGGTGTGATTCAGCCTAAATGAGAATGGACCACAGGTCTAGCCCATGTCTTTGTTACTACTATATGGAGGAAGGAAATGTCACATTTCTTTTTTCGAAGTTCTCTGCTACCTGCTTGTTTGGTCCTCCTTCTGGGAAGAAGAAAGCAGGCCTAGTGTTGATACCTAACCTGGAAGTTGATACCTAGGGTGACTAGGAGGGAGAGTGAAAGTAAAACACATTTCTGAGAAAATGCTCCAGGTACAGCCAGCAGAAGCCCCATCTCTTTATGAAATGGAGGCAGAACCTAAAGTCAAAGGCCCGGTAAATATAGGAACAGACGTGGCTATTGGGGCTGTGGGTTGTGGAGAGAAGGGATTTGACAAATGGAAAAGGGGAATTGAGGTGAGAGGAGCTACTTGGTGAATGGATAAATCAGGCTGGAGTACAAACTCATTTATGGATGCTGAAAGTGTGGGATGAGTTGACCTAATTAAAAACTACAGAGGGAAAACCACATGTGGAAAACCACCTAGTTGTAACCTCCCACCTGTAGTCAGAAAATGCAGTAAGACCTGATGACCCAATGGAATGTCTCACAGAGATCAGTTTTGCAGACAGTTTCATAAAGGCTTTACAGCCAGTGAAAAAGATTCTCCAGACTTATTCCCACTTCTGCCCCATACACAATGCCCTAGAGAGGTATAGGCACAAGTTCCCCCATAATCCCTAAGGCAGTGTACATCTTATCATTCTTTCTGACTCAACCATGGAAAATTTCTCATTATTTTTCCTGAAACCAAATTCTCTAAATATCTGTACCACCAGTGTTAAGTCACCCTACTCAGAATCCTGGAGTCAGCTTTAAATTTCATTAATCAGTTAATTCATTGAGAAAATATTATTGAATCCTTACTACATCATGGATACTGTGCAAGGTTCCAGGATACCCAGTAGCCAATAATTTGCCTTATGGGACATATAGTCAAGAACTCACCAAATCTTATTACATCTACTTTCATAATGACAGTCATATTTATATCTGCTTTTTTCCTACCACCATTCTGTTTAGTTTTCCAGCACCCTGTACCAGAACTTTTTCAGTAGCCTCCTACCTTCCTGTTTGCATTTTATCCTGCAGTCTAATCTATTCTATATTCATTCATTCCTAAATATGATAGAGTGTCAGAAACACATGAGATGTACAAATATAGATTACTGGACTCCAAACCTACTGAATAAGAAAGATGGTAGGCCCCAAGAAAAAAAATATATATCTCCTATATAATAAAAGCCTAATATGCTAAGTGTCTGGTTGTCCAGTTGTCCATTCAACCAATCAAAGCGTAATATGCTAATGATATGCTAAGGCTGCTCAACCACTCTCTATGACGTGCACTGACCACCAGGGGGCAGATGCTCCAACTGGTAGGTTAGCTTGCTGCTGGGGTCTGGCTGATTGGGACTGAGGGAGACAGACTGGACATGTGGGCCAGACACACCCTGATGTGTGTGTATATATATATATATATATACACTATGTAAATACACTATATATACTATGTAAATACACTATATATACACTATCTATATATCTATATCTATATCTAATCTATATATCATCTATCTATATATATATTTTTCAGAGAGGAAGGAAGAGGGAGAGAGAGATATAAACATCAATGATGAGAGAGAATTGTCTATCAGCTGCCTCTTACATGCTCCCTACTGGGGGTCGAGCCCCCAACTTGGCCATATGCTCTGACTGGGAATCAAACCGTGACCTCCTGGTTCATAGGTTGATGATCAACCACTGAGCCATGCTGGCTGGGCTATATTTTTTAAGGCTAACTCTATGATTCTGATACACAGCCAGGTTTGGGAACCATTGCTATATGTCACTAACAAATACAATTGCTCAAAAATTTTCAAGAAATTCTCATTGTCTACAGAATAAACTAAAATATTAGCCTGGCATACACTATTCCAATCTATCCTAATTTTCTTTTACAAAAATTCTAGCCTGCTTTTAATTATGTAACCTTGAGAAAAATCACTTAAATTGGTAAGTACAAAATCAAGGACACAGTCTTTAGTAGCTAGCCTGTGCTACAAAAACTCTTCTGTAAAAAAATTTGAAGAAATAATGTATTTACTTCCTTCTCCAAATACATTTTTGGTGATGAGTTTTGTCCCGCATTCTTTGTTCCTTTCTTCTCCTGTTTCCCTTTCCTTCTGCTTCATGGTTTTCTTCTTACTTTTTTTCTTGTTTAAATTGTCATACTCACACTTGCTAAAGCAAACTAGTACATTTTTATGTTGTAATCACAAAGTAATACATGTTTGTTTTAAAAAATTAATTATGAGAGAAAAATACAATAAAAGTGAAACTGCCCCTCTCTTCCACTCTAAGACTGCTCCTTGGAGGTGACCCTTATTAATGTTTCAGTGACGCAAAGCACATAAACATTTCTTACATTTTCACTTTATTTTATTATTATTATCTTTTATATTTTTATCACTTTCAGAAAGGAAGGGAGAGGGAGAGAGAGAGAGAAACATCAATGATGAGAGAGAATCATTGATTGGCTGCCTCCTGCATGCCCCACACTGGGGATCAAGCCTGCAACCTGGGAATTGAACCGTGACCTCCTAGTTCACAGGTCGATGCTCAACCACTGAGCCATGCTGGACAGGCACATTTTCACTTTCCGTAGGGGTTTTGCACCTGCTCTTTGGATTGGTCCTACCCCCAACCCCCAACCACACCTCTCTCTTTGTTGGCTCAGATCAGGTGTTTTACCCACTGGTTCAGCACCCATGTCTTGCAAACCCACTTGAGGATGCCCAGGACGATTGCTTCTCTCACACTACCTTCTTTCTGACTATAAGAAGTAGATTAACTAGTCATGCACTATTATTTTCTGGACCTCCTTTCAAAAAGCATTTTAGTTGCCATTAAAGCTCTTTTTTCTGCTATCACTTATTTTGGGGGTCCATGTTGCTTTTAGGATCTGTAGCATACAGTTTTCTGCAGTACATTTTACTTACACCCAGAGAAGGTGGCTGTGAAATGATTTCTTGAGTCCTCGAAAGATTTCTTTTCTGTCACTTCTCCTCCCATATATTTCCTCTGCCAGAGGCCAAGGTTTGGAATCCCTCCAAAATTATTTGTGCAACAGCATTATTGATACATAATTCACACACCATACCTTTAAAGTGTACAGTTCCATGATTTTTAGTATATCCACAAACTTGTGCAACCATGATTATGGTAAATTTTAGAATACTTTTGTCACCCCCAAAAGAAACCCCATACCCATTAGCAGTCACTCCCCACTACCTCCCATGCTCTCAGTCCTAGGCAACAACTGATCAATTTTCTCTCTTTGTGGGTTTGCCCATTTTGGATATTTCACATAAATGTGAAATCATACAATATGTCTTTGTGTTGGATGTCTGTGTGTGTGTGTGTGTGATGTCTTTCAGTTACTGTCATGTTTTTAAGGTTCATCCATGCTGTAAGTGTGAATCAG